TGGCTTCTTCCCAGAGCCTAGGCGCATTCCCCATCCCCGGCCAGGCAGCGGCGAGAAGTTTTTACCAGGACAGCAGCAACAAAGGGTGGTGCTCGGAGGGGGTGCCGCATCAGTCCTCCTCTTCGGCGACGGTCGCACGCCAGCGGGGGATTACTGGACTGACCCCGTTTTACAGCGGGAGGGCGGTGCCGTCCAAATGGGAGGACGCCGAGCGGTGGGTCTGCAGCCCGGTGATGGGTCACGGTGCCGGGAGCGAGTCTCATCATCATCTTCAGTCTCAGGCTCAGTTTCAGAAGCGACCCAAGTCGAGGAGTGGGCCAATCGTGGCCCCTGGCGTGGTGCATTACTCCAACTGTTCACCTGCACTCCAGGTGCTCGACGCTGGGTCTCTGAAATTTCGTGGTCAACTCACCCTTTTCCACTGGGGCCTTGATGCTTAATGGTGTCGGCTTGCATTATGGAGCTGGTGGGGGAAGGAATCATGGTGTTGGTGTCGGTGGTGGTGGTGGTGGGAGAGGCGATGTCTCGAGGTCGGTTAGTGTCCCTGTTTGGTCAGATTTGGTCAGTGATTCTTCACTGCCTAGCTCCCCGGGAGGTAAACTGCCCCTTTTCCTTCTTTTTTCTTCAGCCACAATGATGTAATTTGAGATTTGAAACATGGGAATGGATCATAATAACGAGCTCGACTAAAAAGCTGCAGTCTTTTACGTTTTTCGGTGGTGTGATTCAAGCAACGAACTGAGCCTAGACGTCAGCGACGGGCAGAGCAGAGGAAGAGCTGCAGAGCGAGGGTCGGTGAAGGCAGATGCTTCTTGTTCTCCTTCCTCAGCGCCGCTGACAAATCCGGCACCGACTTAGCCAAGGCGGCAACGACGGGAGAGCAGCAGAGCGAGGGTGATGGAATTAAAAAATTTCGTTGAACAAGGGCGATGGAATTTAGGGCGATGGGTTGGTCGAGCAGGAAGAACGATGGAGACCCGACCCACGCCGCCCACCTCGCTGCCTCTGTAATTCCTGACACTGCAAGAGTCGCTGATCGTTTTTTCCTTTTGGATTTGCAGGCGGTGGAGGGTTGTGTTTATGGGAAGGGGGTGAAGACAGGGCAAGGGCGGCCATTTGAGTTGGTCAGGTGGGCATCAGGGAAAAAGTACAGTTGGTTGGTGTAGAAACGAAATTATTTTTTATTTTTTATTTCAATGAATGTAATAATGAGGTGGAAAATATAAAAGTTTATCTTTTTATTTTTAATAATTTTTTAATTGCCACGTCACATATTTAACGGTCAACTAGGAAAGTTGACTTCCACGTAAGCTAGAATTAACGGAAATGGACGGAGAGTGACAAAACTTGAACCATTTAACTAATTTGAGTGACCAAAATTGGACTTAAATATTTCCAGTGACCAAACATAAACGTTTTTTATAATTTTAGTGACCAATCATGCAATTAACCCTTCTTTAACTATCAAAAAAATTGTGTCATGCTTCCTTCAATTGTAATTATTGTTATGTCATCGACCAAACGGATCCGACCATCGGTCGGACCTCGATCTAGTATATACCAATAGAGGTTCCGTTAGAATATCTTTCATTTACAATTTCCAGCGCTCTGAGATAGGAAGGATAATTATGTCATATTAAAAGTAAAAAAAAATGATGAATAAATGTAAGACAAAAAATCCGCCAAGCATCCCCTAATCCTAACATAAATAAAACTTTGTCGAGATTAGTTTATGTTTCTAGGAATGACAATGACACTTCTTACATTTTAATATTATTAATTAACGGAATGTATTTTTAAAAATTATTAGCAGAATATATTTTTAGTAAGGACACTTCTTTCATTTATGGGTTTATGCAACATATTAAAATGTTTACGAGAGTTTGTAAATTTAATTTACATAATAAATTGTTAAAATCAATGATTGTAAAACAGTACCGGAAGTTATTCCGGAAAATTTTGTAGTAGGATAGTTGTATTAAAATCATAATTGAACCGTGGTTCAACCACTTCGTACCGCCAAAATCACCTATAATTTGGGATCCGGTATTTCTGGTCCGACCTTCGAGTATAGTAGACTTTCTTAAACATTGGTTTAAAGTAATCAACCTTTTATTCAGGAGGTACAACTTTTCATATGCCCACGATATGTCATTTTCGCAAATGTTGGTGATCCTCTCATCTTGATCGGAATATTTATCTCTTAAACATAATGGTAAAAGATATATATTATTACTTTATTAGTGCATCTATTAGCTAATAAATTAATATTTGTTAATTAATGGACAAAAAAATTCACAAATGAAAACCCTTCTCATTTGTTGCTACCTTGTTGTTGACGAATCTACAAATTTTGGAACTATTGAGTATTGACTTCGAGTCAAGTGAAAATCATGTAATTTGAATATATGTATTTTAGTGTGTAATAAGTGAGGAGTTTCAAAAATAAAATGGTTTACAATCTTATTATTTTTGCAATAAAAGTGATGCATATGCACCATATCCTCTAACGAGAGTCAAAGTTGAAACCCAACCACCAATCAATACCAGAACATTGCAAGAGCTCAATGAATTTGAACGAGGAATATAAAGGAGGTACATATGAGTTGCAATCTAAAGACTCAGTAACAATAAAATACTAACTCTTTTCTGCAGCCAACCGTGTAAGAGTTTCCCCTTCTGCAAAAAGTTAAAAACAAAATTTCCATAACCCTCCATTTGGCTAGCATTTTATAGTTTATATACGATAGCCATAAATGTATTATTGATTGTTGTTAAGTTTGGTGCTCTGTTAATAAAAAAAGTTATAGGTGCATTGCGGTATTAATATGTACAAAGTTTTATACTCTATTCTAAATTATTATAATATTTAAATTTTTTATATCAATAATAAAATTTGAGAAACATATAATTTAAAAATAAAAATAAAATAATAAATTATCAGTTTAATTCCTTAAAATACGTGTAATAAATATGTTATATATATGTCCAACCACGCGACATACCATCTCACATGTATTACTTTTGGTTTTAAAATTGCATGGTTTAATTAAAGTTGTAAGTTTCAATTCAAGTAGAGAAAATGTATTATGATGAAGACAACTCTATGAAGCAGAACTATTACTCAATTTAATAAGATTGTTGATAAATATGTTCATCTTAGTCATTTGCCCATTTCACTTTTTGTTGTTTTTGTTTGTCCATTACTGTTATCATATTACAACCGGCCAACAGGTCGGGGTACAATCTAGTATACAAGAAGCTGTTGCGCGATCTCTGTTTTGTTTAACATGTTTAGTCTTGGCCTCTTGGGTGATTTTGTATGATGATTTAATCGTCCTAGGATTCCTTCATTAAATATCAGTTGGATCTTTCACTTACTCTGGACAATTCAACCTTTCAACAGTTTAAGATAATTGAAATCCTAAGTCGTGAAGATTTAATCAAACCACAATTATGGTTCTGCTTGACTTCTCATAATGTAGCTATGCTGCTTAAATGCCATCATTTCATTCTCTTTTATTTCTGGTGGCTTATTGTTGTTTAAATATTGATTGGAAATTTGGCGTAGGCTGAGGTTAGAGGGAGACCATGTGTCAAGTTGTACAATATCCAGTATCAATACCAGGGTTCAAGAAGGCGCGCCTAGGCGCACGCCTAGGCTCAATTAGGCGCTAGGCGGTGGACGATCGCCTTGACTTAGTCATAGGCGTTGTAAAAGGCGCTGGTAGCGCTTAGTAGGTAGGAATAGCGCTTAGTTTGCGCCTAGTGGAGAGAATGCGTGCCTGGGCGTTCCTGGACGAGCTTAGGCGGTTAAACCCAATACTCTTCATTTTGTCCTAGAAAATCATAAAATTGCCTCTTTCCCTAGAAAATCAGAAACACGGGAAGGGGATGACCATGCTATGTATGTATTCGTAGATGAGGATGAGGAATCATATTGTGCACCCTCGAGTACTATAACAGATGCAATGTGTATAATAAGTTACCACGTTGGATGGCTTATTTGGTGCTCCCGGCCAGTAATAAGTTGCCATGTGTATAATATTAAAATTATTAGACTTTCAATTCTTCTCTTCTCCGTCTGATTTTTTTTCTTCGTTTCTCTCTCTTGCTATTTCGCTAAAACCACCAGATTTAGGGTTCTAATTTTGAATTCAATCAGGAGCATACAAGTTAATGTGAATCTTCTGAGGATTTCCCATCGCTACTGAATATGATTTACAGTTCAATAAAGATTCAACTTCGATTATGGATCGATGCAATTGTCAGATTATTGATTTTTTCTCAATCGACGATATCTGCCGGAGACTATCTTCCTCGTCGACGGAACGACTCCCTCAATTTCACTGAAACAAAATTTTATCTTGATTCGGAAACAGATCCAATCTCAACGAAAGATTGAAAGATTGAATAAATGTGCCCAATGCGGCGAGCGAACTTTGTCTGAGTGAAAGCTAGAAAGCTTTGTTTGAATTCTGATAGATGAATTCTGTTCTTTTGTTTCATGGTTTTGTTCATCGGTGTTTGTAAAAATGAAAGCTGTACCGGAAAGGAATAAGGAAGGAAGAAGGGAACGCCATTTATTTGCAGAAGCAATGATTTTAGGAAGAAGCTATTAATTTGTAATCTTTTCCATTTATTTTTTATTGTCCACGTGGCATATTTTCATTAGTTGGGAGCACCAGATGAGCGAAATGAGGTGGTGGTCCGGGAGCATTGAAGAATTTCTCATAATAGTTGACTACCACATCAGCAAAAACTAACGGAGACTAACGGAGAGTGACCAAACTTGAACTATTGAACTAATCTTAGTGACCATGAATGGAATTAAATATTTGCAATGACCAAACATGAACGGTTTTGATAAACCCAATGACCATCCTTGCAATTAACCCTATTAAACTCCTAAACATTACAATCCAAATCAATAAAAAAAAATTGGCGTTTGTGCAGGAAACTAAAATTCATCTTTCAACTACAAAAATTGAGCGAACTAGTATCAAGGATGCCTTATTGATGTAGCCATCACTACCATCGTCCAAACATTGGTATACTCGAATCTAGTAGTTCGACAAAGCCATATGCTCTCCGATGAGTTTTTGAGAGGGCAGATCACAAACAATAACATCGAAAGAGAAACACAGCCATTGGCAATCCTAATGCGAGAAGGAGACCGAGATATGCACACAATCCCCTTATTCTGCTCATCGTAGTGGTCTACTCTCGACTTGGTCAGTATCGTCTTCAGTGTCATAATCATCTTTATCTGCATCATTCTGGTGAATGTAATGAAACAGGCCACGGCGAGAGTTTCTCTCCGCCTTTGGTACAGTTCTACTATCCTCAAAGGAAAAATAGGCGTCCTGTAGACAACCTGTATCTCGGTGTTTGGTGAGAAGCCACCTCAACAAGCGATCTTCCTTGTTCAGGTAATGCAGCTCCTTGTTCATGTTTGGCGTCGCCATCATCGTCATCTGCATCAGCTGGCCCTGGGCGTAGAGAAATAATAAAAATTTAGCATCTGTCGAAGCCGAAAGCTGACACAAGAAAGTAAAGAAGCTTCAGGTTTCTGAGTTCCCAAACTTTGTTCACCTGATAAAATCTTCCATCAAGCTTCTTGATGCCATAACCAAGGTGGATGGTCCCAAATGATTTCATCTCCGTGATTACACCATTCCTACTGCAAATGTGTTTTCCTATTCGAGCCACCAAGTCCATGATCGGTTCTTTCTTTACATGAGGCTTGAACAAAAGCACACAGTCATAAAGCGGCATCTTTCACTCCCCTGTCGTGCCCATTCATTTCAAAAATAGATAAACCATTGATTCAATTAGGAACTAATAATAATACAAAGAAAAAGAATTTCAGAAGAAGACATGGCAGCCCTAGGAATTTAAATCATGTACGCAGTATAGAACAACGTATTTGACGATCATATTCTTCTCATTTGTAGAAGTTTGCATTTCTCAACTTCCACACATTCAAGAGGATTCCTTCAATTGGAACTATATAACGTATCATGCAACTCAGAACTGATGATTAAATAATACATTTGAGCATTCCTGATGCTCAAAATTCTGATTATTTTTAAAGCACAATGTTAGATGAAATGTTGAAAAACTGGATATAATAAGCAAAAGTTGAACAAATCAGGGTAGCAGAAATCCTGATCTGCCAAAAGTTACACACTACTTTGCCTAGTCTTCACTTTGATTTCTTAAAATCCTAATCTTATGAGGGTTCTAAAGGATAACAAATTTCAGGGCGCAATCAATCTTGCACTGTTCAATCTACCACAGTGAAGAGCTGGTTTTTGCGCGCCTAGCTAAATGTACGCAGCCGTATGAACTTACTGATTGGCAGTACTATAGCCAAACAGCTCGGCCGGCTGCGACTCAGTAGGCACCGGAGTCAGAAGAATTTGACGGTTATATTCTTCTCCTTGGTAGAATATAGCATTTCCCAAATTCCACACGTCCAAGAGGATTCCTTCCAATGGGAACTATATCAAGTATCATGATTATATCATATATTTGAGCATTCCTTATGTTCAACACTCTGCTAACGGTTAAAGCACAATGTTCAATGAAATGCCGAAAAATATATTACTGTAAACAACAAATGAACAAATTGTAGCGAAGGGTAGCAAAAATCCTAATCCGCAAAAGAATTTACATTCCCCGTTGCCTATTCTTCACTCAGTCACTGAAAATACCCTACTCGAATGACCGGGGAAAAAATTTCAGGGCACGATCAATCTCGCACTGTTCAATCTATTACAGAGAAGAGCTGGTTTTTGCGCCCCTAACTAAATGTAAGCAGCCGTATTGAACTTACTGATTGGCAGCACTATAGCCAAACAGCTCGGCCGGCTGCGACTCAGTAAAACAGATTGGTCCAAAGAGCAAGCACGGTACAATCTCCAGCAACAGGTGAAACTGAAATGAATCAAAAAAAGAAAACACTTGAGATTCGAAAAATGAAGGATTTACCGAGATCTCTCGCCTGGATTGGTGACTCTGAAACCGAAAACCGGATCAGCGGGGACGATACTCGAATCGAAAAAGAAAAACGAAGTGACTGAGAGGATAAGGGCGAGCGTCGATCGGAGATGGCCGGGCACGAGCCGGAGGGTGGAGAGAGGAGGCGGGGAAAGGGAGTGAGCGACGAAAGGTTAAGGCGGAAGGGGAAGATGAATTAGGTTTTCAATCCTGACTTCGGCATTGCGATTGGAAGGGTTTGGTTTGGGCTGGGCTGTGCACTATGGGCTCTGGTTGTTTTGTGCACTGAAGGGCCGTTTGTCTGCATTGGGCATTATTCACCAGCAACTGGGCCTCTATAGCTTTACCCTAAAACTCTTGCCCCGCAAATGAGTGAATACCTGAAGTAGTCAACACAATATACTAGTTTGGTAGCCGGTCCGTTGGCCGGGTAAATTTTGTTTGAAATATGTACTTTGGTATTTTTTTCCTCCTAAGGTGTCTATTTTGTTCAGTCTGTCATTGTCCTCTCTCATTCCGAATCGTGTATATCTTTGAATCCGACAACTTGGCCGCTAAATGATTTTTTTTTAAGGTAAATTAGTTTGTACTGCACGACAATATTTTAGCACTCATGAAATTGTTGTGCATTATTATTATGATATTACAAAATTAAACATTGATATAATTTAGTAACTCAGTAGAATAAGAAATTTGTTCTGCGATCTATGTTAGTATATACTTTATGGTGGTACAATCGAATGATATTGATATAGTTTCGCAACTATCGAATAGGAACATGCCTTGTAAATATATGATTGTGGCTATGTTTAAAAAAAACATATATCAAAATGGGTATCCTTGTATAGATCACATAAAATCTTATTTTTTCGCGCAATAATATTTAAATTCGGAGTTGAAGCGAAATAAATATGGATCAATTAAGAATAATAGGGGAGATTGAAAAAGAAAAGAGAGAGAGAGAGAGAGTTAAGTTGCACATTCTAATTGGGGTATAGAAAAACTTAAAAGAAAAAAAAGGAGTTAAGAAAAAATCTGATTGGTCGGAAGGGTGCTGACGTGGATGCGTAGGAGGGCTGGAATTTTGAAATGGTGAAGGTAGTTTTTGGAAAAGCCTTTATATATTTTACTAGTCACACACCCGGCTAGTTGGCCGGATTTAGTTGACAATCACGCAATAACAGTAGCAATTTGTATTTGGGTTATGTATAAGTGCATGTTCTTTTTGGCTTGTTTGCATTTCCTCCGGCATGACCAACAAACTCATTGTCACCATTGATAATGTCTTCATATCCATTAGCGACACATTTTACATTTATCTCCAATTTCAATTGATTCTTCCTTCTTCTCTTGGATTTCAGTTTTCTCTTCCTTGTTTTCCTGCATTTCATTGAGCACAAAAATTTGATGTTAAAATATATTCCCAAATACAAATCATGTTTTTCATTGGAGTAGAATTTAGCTCGTCCAAGTGGGTACACAATTATCAAGATAGGGAAGGATGAGGAAGAGCAGACTACCGACGATGTTCCCAACTTGATCGAGGTAATTTCTATTTGAATCAAAATGATTGGTCAATATATATTATAGATAAAATTGTAGCCGGAAAATATCATATGCTCCATATTTCTAAGCAGGCGGTGAAAGAAATAAAAGGGTATTTTCCAACTTTGCAGCAAACTCAGTATGACCGTTAAATAACTAAATTCCAATTTTATTAGTTAAACCATCAGCTCCCTTCATCCAAGCCAATTCTATTAATTAAACCCACAACTCCCTTCATCCGGCTGTTGCATGATATCACTAAAGATTAAATAATATAAAGTATGAACGGTGCATGGTATAATTATCAAAATCCAATAGAGAATAACACAAATTTGCAATTAATGTTGATCATCATGTTGATTCAAATAGAAATTACCTCGATCAAGTCGGGAATATCGTCGGTGGTCCGTTCTTCCTCATCCTTTCATATCTTAATAATTGTGTACCCACTTGTTGGATTAGCGGTGTTGTAATTTGTAAGCTTGATGCCGAACTGCAATGTCATTCCCTCAATTTGAAGGAGATGAGCAATTGGTGGTCCTCTAATTCTATCATTATCTTGGAATAGCCTTTCTGTCAACATTCTAAAACCCAAGTTCCCACTCTATCCATGACAACAAAGTCAGCCACTCCTGGTTTGTCTGCAACTCGAAAGTTGATCCCGAATTTGGATAATGATGGTAATAACATAAAAACACAAAAAATTATTAAAGTATACGTTATTTTAGGTGGTAAATACAAAATCTCTAAATTATTAAATAAATAATACGAAAATAGTCTCATTAGGTACATTAGATGTGTAGAAGAAAAACATAACCTCTTTCTCATATCCATTTTTTAATATAACACACCAATCTCTTGGAATCTCTTTATGTTACACATATCTAATTTAATATTTTAATACGTACGTAAGCTTTCCGCTTGTATCAGTACCATGCTTTGATAATTATTAGGGGAATGTCCTTTCTTAATGCATCAGTAATATAATCTTTGAATTCTACGAATAAATAATGTTTTTAAAATTAAATATCCAATCATTTAGCATGTATATTCATCAACAAAATATACCAGATCAAATTTCATATTAATAATGGTTGTATTACCTTGATGTTGTCGTTTTTAATGTTTTTGTACAATTCCCGTAGAAGTATTCATCGGAGTCTTCTTCGAGTTTTTGTGGACATGCTTCCCATTTAGCATAGCACCACCCATTATTAACCTTGACAACTTTGCATTTGACGGAATACATATTTCCCAACATAGGACATAAAGTGTTAGCATTTGATAGTTAATGGCTAGTTAAATCGCAATTGATGCTTACCACTTCTCCATCTTTTATTTTTAATTGATTAAACTCATGTAGTGTTTTGCTTGGGATTGACTGTTGAGTTTTTCCTGTGCTTTTCATTGGAGGAATTGGTGCATTGCTGTCACTTTATTCATCCAAACAAAATGTTAGTTAATGTCTATTTGTTCTTTGAAGTTCAAACTTATAAAGCATAAACAAATATGAAGATAAATTTTTTTAGAATTTTGCCTTGGGTCAAAATTAATGACTTCTGAAATTCTTGGATTCACCGGCAGCAAGTTTGCTCCAGTTCAGCAGAAGGTGTTCTTGCCTGCGAATTTGGTGATGTTTGAATTATTTGTTATTAACTTTTTTGAAAATGCTTGTATTAATAATAAAATAATTTAAATGTCTCCTTACCATTGTACTTATCGACGTATAATGACGTAATGACTAGGTTAAATGGGTGATGACCAACATTTGTAAGGATGACATTTAATTGGGTAACTATCATACCAAAGAAAGTTACTTTAATAACCAATCCTCTGTATCCAAATAGTATATTAGATTTGTTGTTAGATGTAAAGTAAAGCATGCTATTTTAAACTAAATGCCATAAATTACTTACTCCAGAAGTTTTAATTGGAGCTGTTTGCGGGTAACTTTTCTAATGAATCTAGTAGTTGTCAGTAAATCTATATATTAAAATAAGCTGGCCAACAACATCTGTGGAATGTAAAAATCCAAAAGCTAATGTGTTTGGTTGTAGTCCAGTTTCTCTTTTGAGTAGTCCAGTTTCTCTTTTGAGTTGTCAGATCGGAGATCAATTGGGATTACATATTGACTAATCATGCATTAAACATCACCCAAACAATAATTTTGGTTTCACCATGGATATTAGTGTAACTCTCAAAATATGTACTTAGCACAATGTTAATGTAGGAAGTGTATAATTGAATAAGGAACATAGATTAACTATTTCTAAATTTAAGAATTTAGGCATATAATGACGGCTATTGCCTTTGTGGTAAAATTTGGAAAGTAACTTTAGAATTAAGAATGGAGACTTGCGTAAAAGAAACTAAGTTTAGCAAAACATGAACAAAAGTTTCATTTGCCACACCAGAGTCAACTAACAATTGACCGGATAAAAAGTTAACAGTTTGGCTAATAAATTATTTCTTGAAAGGTTTTGCTATTGTATATGTCATACTAGTTTTCATTGCCCGCGCTTCGCGCTGGGACTTGAACAAACTAATGACATTTTATTGGATACTCATGTTTTATGATTACATAATGGCTGGTAAGTGAGGTTAGTATATTCGAAGTACACACATTATTCAAAAATGAAACACAACAGAATTCACCTACACACATAGTTCCAAGGTTCATGGTAAGCAAAGACACTAATTACGAACGTTCATCGCCATACAAAACATAGTTCCATAACCGAAAAATTCACATTTGAAGAAGATCGTTCACCTGCAAAAAGAATGAAGAAATTAAAAGAGCAAATCCTACATTGTCTACTACAAACTCGAATTTATAAAAGCACAAGTGTACCGTAAAGTATCAAATGTCTATTATGTTTATGGATATGGATGGACTTGGTTGAAAGGCCACTCCCCACCCTCAACTTTGCTAATTTCCATTCTGTTTGCAACAACATATGCTAGCGTAAGAGAGAATGAAAGTGAACTATATAATGGAGTATATGTACGCATCGTTGCTACATTAAGAGAACCTAAGGAAAACTATAACTCTGATTTAATTCAATCCTCGAGTCATATGATTTCAGTTACAATTTATGGTTGAATCATGGAGTTGTCCATAAGTCAAAAATTCAAATGATACCTCAAGAAGAAATCCTAAGACAACTGAATCGCCAAAGGCTAGACAAACCTCACAAAATAGAGATTGCACAACAGTTCCTTGTATCTTTGCTTCAAGTACATGATAAAGATGGACTAATTCCAATTCTTATCCCATGGTGGTCCACCATGCCAAAATCTGCAGTAGTTGTAAACCAAGTACATATCATAGAAGGCACAGAAGAGTCTAGGCATGTTGGTTAGATACCAGACTCCAAACAACAACTGGTGCCTGCAAGATAAGATGGAAAGAAGAGTGAAAAACTACAGAAAACTTAACACTAAACAGAAAAGGAGCATTTGTATCTCCCATGTTGCAAGCCTCGTCTTATTGGGTATGAATGAAATGAATGTTTAGTAAAAAAACAGAAAAGGAACATAAATTAAATACTTAAGCAAACAAATATCAAATCATGTAATTCGTGAGAGCCAAAAGTGAAAAGGAAACATATTGATTGAGATACAAATCCTTAACTTCCTCACAGTTGTGATATGTC